GACTTCTCATGAAAACAGAAACATCCATTTGTTAATGTCTCTTTTTGCTTCCTGTTGCATAAGCTAGACAAGTAAAGCTCCAAAAGAAAAGCAAATGGCCAGTTCAGGTACAAAAGAAATACCCAAGAGGAGCAAACATTTTCCCCGAAGTACAAATGAAATGCCAATTTACACTGATCCACTGAAAATTAATGAGATGTTGCAGGTATTATGGGGAAGATGGGCTAACAGTATTGCCTTGAGCCCAGCACCTTGGGCATAATTTAGATAAACCACAAAGCCATGTAATGGGACATATGAAAGAGAAATCTCATAAAAGTTGCAGTGACAAACAGCAACGTAAATCCATGAGTTACTCCATGAGAACAAGGCAGTTAAGTACCTCTAAATCAAATACAATGTTTTCCTAATAAAGACAGAAGACACAAGACAGGATGAGTGACAATGAAAGGCTTGGAAGCCAAAGACATAAAATGTCAAGATTGTAGGTAAAGTAGATTGCCCAACACTTTAACAATTTATTTTTGATTTTTTTTATCTTCACATATTTACAGAATCCTCTTTCTCTGCAATGTCAAAGCCAAGATATTTCCTCCCTATCCCATTCACACACACACACACACACACTGAGAGAGCTGGAAATGCTAATATTTACAGGAAACACAGAGCTTTCATGTTACTTCCAACATGGTTCAGTAGCTATGTAAGAAGTCTTGCAATAAACAAAAAGTGGTTGTGTGTCTTGTGTTATTGTTACAGTACAAGGGGTCAGGAATCATGCATGTGTTTTTTGGCATACAGTCAAATCTACAGGACTGTTATGGAAAGTTTATTTTCACTGGCTGCTTACACAAGTGACTACAGGTGGCAGAGACCAACACGCCTGGATCAGCACTTCTGCACTACACAAAAAGTGACCTGCGAAAGCAGAAAAGTAGTGCTAAATAAAGAACAAAAAAAAAGAATAAAAAGACTGCCTTTCTCTGTACTGTAGTTGACTAAAATGAGCTCTATTAAAATGCTCCAAAAATGAAGTGGCCATTTCTTTCATGAGCTTCTAACATATTCTTCAATAAGATTCTTGAAATCTTTGGCAATGTCCACCTCAGTGGAGTTATTTTACAGTGCACAATCACTATGGAAGCAGTTAAAAAGCAAAACACAACCAAACACAAGAAAACAAAACGAAGTAAAACCACCACCACCACCACCTGAAAAACCAACTCAGTTTTAAATAGAAAAAGAAATTACTGTCCCACATTTCAAATTGTGGTTATTTTCTTGTTTGGCTAATTTAGCAATGAATTCAGGCATTTATAAGGAAGAAATACACCCAGTTTTTAAGAAGGGATACTATCAAAGCTCCAAGTGTCAGAATTTGACTAAATTTATAACCCTCCTTTATCTCCAAAGTCAATATAAACCTACCTACAGGATTATTTGCAATAAGTGTTTTAGCCAGGAACACCAGTAAGAGTAACTCAACAAGAATGTTTGACTAAGAAGTGACTACCATTATCATTATTTTTAAATAATTATATATTGCTGTTTATCTCCCTTCCTTCCACCTCTAAGGTCTGGGTAATAAACCTTAATGAATCAGAAGTCTACTGTCCTCAAAAGACTTGTATTAATAGGAAAGCAACTCATGAAACTGTCAGGAAATAGGAATGGGTAAATGAGCCATAAATTACTGTGTGCTGGTTGTTACACAAAATTGATATGGATCTTTTATTAGTAAGAATTTATGCACATCCAGTAGATTAAGTAATTTAATCCTTCAGAAATTGATTCATAGAGCAGCTGTTAAAAACAAGGTTGCACCAACATTCCTCTTGATACAGAAAAAGAAAAGTGGCACCACACAACCTGGACTCTATGTTCAGCTTTAGAACTGTGCCCTACAGCAGCCGCTTGTGGATTTCAGAGCTAACTGTGCTATTGAAATAAACAAAACAGGCTATAATTTAATTTCTTTAAGAGCAAATGACCTTACTGTCCCACAGTCTTGATCTTTGTGGAAAGTATAAATGGCTCAAGAAGGGAAATCATCCCCCAGAACACCAGGTGTTGGGCCTCTCATTTTCCACTGTTTGAGATCCTACTCCTGCTTCCCCTCTCTTCCCACTCGCTCTCCTTTGCACAGTGCCCCCTTATCTTGCCTATGTATCCCACACCTCTGAGCTGTCAGCAGCTACCCACCTTCCTGCTTGCCTAACACCTCACTCATCCTCATCTAACAATATCTGACACTCATCCTCAGCCTATAATTTCTAGTCTGCTATCCATAAAAAGCCATAACCTTCAATCTCGTTACCATCCTCATACTCATTTTGTTTTCTTTCCACTCATTAAAACTCCCACTCACTACAGTCCCACAACCTAGTTTGCCTTAACCCTTTCACAACCACTTCATTCCCTGTAACTACCCTCATACAACCACTCTGCTCTTTGGCTTCTGTGAACTACCTAAAAATGCCCCTGCGGCTCTTCGATGACTCCCAAGTTCTCCAGTCTCAACTACTTTGTCCCTGTTTTCCATAATAAGATACATACCAGCATTCCCATTATGGATCTCTAACATGACTCAACATCACTGAATGCACTATGAATTTATAGCAAAATTTCACCGTGGTTTCCTCTGCTATAAATGCCTTATTTTCCCCTTCACCTCACAAAGGCTGCCTCCTCCAACTCCACAGTATCAGCAGTCACAAATCCACTGTGCACTCCCCAAGTGAAGCCTCATCTTCTTGTACCAGATGGATATTCCTGACTTTTTCAAAGAGAACTCTAAAAAGATCTGACAGGACTCAATTATTTGATGTTCTAAGCAAGTGACCATATCTTCAATTATCGCCTGTACACCAACTGTGCAAACTAAGAAAAATTTCAGACCACCCATTTTTCCTTTTCCAGTGGACATTACAGTTCGATGCAGACATACTGACTTGGCCTTGTGCTCTCTTTTGACCAAAAAAATCATAAAATGGCCAGGGCTGAAAGGGCCCTTAAAGATCATCTAGTTCCAGCCCCACTGCCACAGGCATGGACACCTTCCAGTAGATGAGGCTGCTCAGGGCCCCATCCAGCCTAGTCTTGAACACTACAAGGGCAGGGGAATCCACAACTTCCCTGGGCAACCTGTACCAGTGCCTCACCACCCTCACAGTAAAGAATTTCTTTCTAATATCTAATCTAAGTTTCTGTCTGTTTGAAGCCATTCCTCCATGTCCTATCACTATATGCCCTTCTAAAAAGCCCCTTTCCAGCTTTCTTGTAGGCCCCTTTAGGTACTGGAAGGTGCTATAAGGACTCCCCAGAGCCTCCTTTTTTCCAGGCTGAATGTCATAAAGCTGCATGATACCTTTACAGAATTCCTAATTTCCAGTAAGAAACAATGTCAGAAGACGGGCAATTATTTGCACAAAGTCCCATCTAAGACAACTAAGAATGTCACCTTTATGCATAGAAACCTTACAGGATATCTAAGGCTCCTTCTCCACTGCATCACACACTAGTTAATCATCAAAACCAGTGTAGAAAAGGCTCAAAGCTCTTGTGGCAGAACACTTAATCTTGTACAGCCATGAGTCACGCAATTAATTTTACACTTCCAAGTTTCAGATGCATCCACATGGGTCCCCCTCTGTATCCTGGACGAAGCTAATTCAGAGCTGCCTTGTTTGGCCTCTTGCATGAGTATTAGACTCAACTGTGAAGACGCATGCATGTAGTCTCTGTCAGAGGTGAGGAAACAAAGCTTTCAAGAGTGACAAAGTGAGTACAATTATTTCTGATTTATATATGAGGAATGCAAACACACAGAGACGGGGACTTCCAACATATCTACAGGCTGAAACAATCGGGGCATTCCAACTTCCTTACTCTGCTTATGACTTGGAAAACAACTTTCATACTTTGCAGTCTCATTTTTTTTCTAATTTTGAAGGTTACAGAGCAAGGAGAAAAGCCTAGTAGAACATTGGATCTGTACACAGAACATTTCCCAGCTCACTCTACAGCAAAGCACCTGCACTTCTTTAGTTGTTTCTAAGCCAGCAGGTTAACACGGGCAAGACAGATTAAAGAGACTGTGCTGACAGCCATCCAAAATGATGCACTGTGCAGCCAGGGCAATGAGCCAGAAAGGGAAAGTAAGCACAGGCCTTCAAAGAGCAACATGGGGTTGGACCAAGAAAACATGTAGGCTGAATGGTAGTGGCTCCACCAAGATTTTGATGACCTGACTCAGCTGGCCATAAATTATAAAGTTCCCACATTAAGAGGTTTTTCCCCAACATTAAATAGTTTGTGGTCTAGAGAAAGAACAGGGAGCCAAGGACTTGTGAATTCTCATTCCCTCTCTGACACAGGCTAGCTACTTCATCACCCTCAGCTCCTGGGGATCAATATCCCACTATCCATTTTACAGAAGTACTGTGAAAGTTACTGGAAATTTGTGGAAATTAAGACAAAGATAGCTGTCACAGTTCATAGGTATCTTCATTTGTTACCAAGTGTTCACCTTTAGTGATCCGTAACATGCAAATTTTTCCTCCATGAATTAATTTAAGTCAAAATGATTACAGCAGTAAGGAAAAGTTCATGATTATTTATATGCAACATCTCCACTCTCCAAAATGCAAGCCATTTTGGGAAGGTATACTTTTCCACTCTTGAAAAGGGCTAAAAGGAAATATGTACTTTTTACAGTAAATCACTGCCCACTCTGTATTTTAAACAAAGATTACAAATGACCTCTTACAATAAAAACAATTTAAGTTACATTTTTGAGGAAACTGCTTACAGTTAGCCACATTCCCCACCTGATACAGGTTTATATAAAGACTCAATATTAACGACTCGCTGCTGAAGAGGCTGTCTGGTAGTTGCAAGTCATGCTCATGAGTTTTCAGGCTAGAGTAAATTCAAAGTAAATGATCTCTTAACAATTAAAAACCATTAGAATAAACATGTTAGAAGTAAGTCTTTCTTACCTATTAGTATCCTATTCTTTGCAATGCCATTCTTAATCTCATCATTGATCAGGTTTGTAAGGCCCCTGCACATGGAATCAATACTTTCAATGTGTTCTGGACAGTCAATAGAGATCTTATACCTGTCAAACCACACAGTGGAAAAGGCTCCTTTCATAGGTGTATATGGCCTGGAGTGGTGGAAAGAAAGAAAACAAATTATTAACCAAGCATAATGTCAAAAGCTTTCAGCATACATGATAAATAAAACTAATTCAGCATCTCTCCAGCAGGTCCAATTCAATTTACATCCAGTCACATAGCTTTTCATTGCATTCAAATCATGGTCCTTCAAGAAAGAAGCCAACATTTGGAAGCTAGGTGAAATGCAGGGTTCAGTCAGTTCAATGTTAAGGTTGATCAAGTCAGCTACACATTTTACATCTTAAACCTCTCCAGGTTGAAGAGGTTCTTAATCTTAAACAAAGTTATGGTTCAAATCCACACTGTAATACAACAAACTGAAGTTAACTGCTAAACAAGACAGTTTTGCAAGAGCTAACTTTATGGAATTCAATTGATTAATTCCTGTCAAAATTGACAGGAGATGTGTATTATGAACCTCTAGGTATTTAAAAAACTTCTTCCTTCTGCCAATTTTTCTTTGTTCCTAGATAAATATAGCCACCCTCATCTTAATGGGGCAAGTATCTCATAAAAATAACTGAAAGAAATGCCATGTGCTTACTGGGCTGGTGCACAGACACAAATAAGAGACATGATACTCCCTACCTTAATGCTGTGTTGTCAGATGAGTATTTTAAGTGCTTTAACATGCTGCCAAGACCTCAGATAATCAAAAAAAGCCATAATTCAAAGCAGCCTTTCCTTTGTTTTTAAATAAAGATGATTAATAGAGCCTTGAAAGCCCAGGAAAGGTTATCTAATTGCCTTGCAATGGCTCTACAATACCAAACATACGGCTATGAGATTGATGCTTCATCTCAAAGCCCCTTAAAATCCTTAATTGCTACATTTAATCAGAGGGTAAATTCTTCATTTTTACTTAAGCTCAGATCAGATTACAATTATCATCCACAAACAGACATTCTTTGATAAATGTCTGGATGGGAACCCACTGAAAATGCTGAAGTTGACTTCTGTGCTGTCTCTGGATTTTTTTCAGTACTAGGATTAAACACAAACCCAACTAGCCTTAAAAAAGAAAGTAACTATTTCAATTATTCTTAACGAAGGAACAAAGTCTGCCTTTAGTAACTCCAGAGAGGCTTCATATATGTAAACAGCTATTTCTAAACCAGTACTGCCACTAGGAAAAGCATTCAAGATAATATTATTTGCATTATTCATAAGTCAAAAATGAGAGAACATAGATTTTCCTCTGTTGCCATGAACATGAAAAAATAATCCATGACTTAAAAGTTGGTAATACAAATATATTGAAAGAGACAACAAACAGCAACAGATAGGTACAAATAGACAGACTACTTTCATCTTTCTGAGCAGAACTTCAGGAACAATTATCTAAAATATACTGTTATTTGAAATGGAATACAATATGTGATCAAGTTTAGTAGAGTGTGTGCTTTAAGCAAGTAGAGTGTGTGCATTAAGCAGTCCTTCATTTGCTTAATTCAAAACACACCATATACTTAAGCACCAGACTTAAAAAAAAAAAAAAAAATCGAGCTTTTTTTTTTCAAGTTAGTCCTTACCTGTCTATTACAAAAGTTAACTCCTAAATTAAAGGCAATTAAAAGGAAATATTTTGTATCCCAAACAAGCTAAAGCTAAGTTTAAAAAACATTATTAAAATGCTTTGACTTTTTTTTTTTTTTACCTACTCTTTAGAACCCTGTCTCCAGGGTTCTTCCAAATGAATTGATCAACACCTAAGAAACAAGACAACGCATCTCTTATTCACAGAAGTAAATTTCTAAGAAGAGACATTCCAGTCAAACCTATCAACAACATCACAATCAGTGAGGTTTCTGGATGCCACTTGGATAATGTGATATAAAACAGACTAAATGCTTGGGCAAACAGCATCTAATCCATGGGTTTATCTTCTCTCTCAAACATTCTTGCATTACCCTCGGTTAAAATGCTTAGCATCTAGAGTGCTTCATTTTCTAGGAAAGTCAGAGTACTTAATATATTTGTGTGAGAAAAGATGTAAAAGGTTTTACTATTATTACAGCAAGGTGACGCAGGATTTCCATGGAAGGAAGACACATATATGTATTGCATAACAGGAATTTACTTTTACATTACAGAAATATTAATCAGGTTTCCTCACAACTGAAAGACAAAACCAATCAATTTATAAACAGAACAAAATGCATTATGAGATTATAATACTTGATCAGAAGTCAAAACTCAGGACTTCTACCTGCTGTCTTTGCAAATTCTTCAATAAGAGAGATAAAAGACTCATGTGTTTTAGGCCCACAGGAAAAGACCACCAAGCAAATCTACAAGAGGCTTACAGCTGCCTCAAAAATACCTTTGCAACCACTCTTGATTTCTCAGAAATGCATTAAAAATAACCTTTACATAAAGCTGAGAAGTAAGATTCTTTTAATGGTTCACCCAACTGGCACATCTGTTTTAGTCATTCACCTTGTTCCTTAAATAATCCCTTTATTAGCTGGCACACTACAACTCAGACATTACCATAGTAAACAAATATGTTTGGCATGGAACCATCTGTACAGTTCCAAGAATACAGCACCAAATTTTTTCATACAATTAAACCACAAAAAAAGAAGAAATCCCTATGTTACAGTGACATGAGAAGCTGGATTGAAATATGCAAAAGCAAAGAAATACAGACTGGAGTCAAAACTCCATCCGGTAAGCTCAGCATGGTCAATTAAGGACAGTGTAAGACCGAACAGTCAACTTTAAGCTTGGATTTTTTTCCTTTCTTAAGTTTGATCAAAACTTGTAACATTAGTCCCTCTGTGCCTCACTTTCTTTATTCTCTCTTATAAATTGTACTAAAAATAAAGCTCTGTGTCTCTACAACATGTGCTGTTGAAACTTGGAATGAAAATATATAAGCCCCCCAAGTTGTGTGTGCATTTTGTTTTGTTTGTTTAGTTTTAAATGGGAGGTTGGGGTGGTTCTGTTTTGCTTGTTCTGGAGCACACAAAAGACTGAAACCCATATAAGGAAACTAGAATCAAAAACCCTTTCTCTGGGTATATCCAGCTTCCAAAATTGTATCCGTTTTAAGAAACAACTGAAAGAATTTCCTACAAATTTAACTATTTCTCAGCATTTAAAAGTAAGAAGCAAAGACAACGCAAAAAAATCATGGTTAATATCAAATAACATTTAAGAGACTGCAGGTGCTATGAGAATTAGAATTTTTTAAATGCTTCCCAGCATCCTCAAATCACTCTAGAATATGATTTCTGATTACTTTATAGTTCTTATATTTAAGAGTGTGCACCATTTTCCCACACATACACCTCTTGCACAAGACTGCAGTTTCAAGAATCATAAAATCAACCAGGTAGGAAGAGACCTCAAAGATCGAGTCCAACCCGACCGTGGTTACTAGACCACAGCACTAAGTGCCACATCCAGGCTCATCTTGAAAACCATCAAGGAAGGTGAATCCACCACCTCCCC